GAGGCCCCTGTTAGATTTCTTGCACTAGTGTGTGGAGCGTTGAGCATGCAGATGGTCAGCCCACCGGAACTGGGACTTGAGGCCTCAGACCACATCCTCAAAAGCAGACCAAGTGTGTGGGGGGAGGAGGGATTAGCTTTGCCACCTTGCCAGTACTCAGCCGGACATAAGCCTCCAAGTTGATAACTTCAAAAAATACCAAATATGCATGCATGCATATAAATTATGCACACATGGGAAACCCAAGATGCTGAAGGAGATGAGAATGCAAGAGGGGTCTGGGGGGAGGTGGGAGTGGGAATGAAACCGGTTTGGGGTTTGATTTATTTCAGTGCCAGGGTTCGGACCCAGGGCCTCCCTCACCTTTACCACTACCTCACTTTACCACTGAGCTGCAGCCCCAGCCCCCTGATGGTTCTAGGTCTTAAGCAATATGGTAGGAATACAGAGAAAGACAGATGTAGTAAAACATCTGCTAGCAGTGAGGAAATGGAAACATGGCTAGCAAGAATGGATAGTGCTGAATGCAGACAGCATAATCAACCCAAATCACATACATTGAGCCATGTGTGGGGGTCCATGCCCGCAATCACAGTGCTCAGAAGGCAGGAGGATGGAGAGAGTTCAAAGCCAGCCGACTACAAGGTGAGACCCCGAGTCAAGCAAACTCCTCAAACAATAGGATACTACCAATAACATGAATGAACTAAACTTTTGTGAGTCCTGAAAAGTTACTGGTTCATTTCCTGTGGCTTTATCCTGACAGTCCTCTCTGTCTGTGATTTCACTGCAGTCCTGCTGCACACAGAGGGGATGATGACAGGAGGGTGGGGTGCTCTTCAGGGACAGACACCTCCAGGGGCTTCGAGTCGCCCAGTCCTCACCATCATCTCTGTAGTCTGGCCCCTGATGACCCACGGGACACATCTAGCATGCCACCTTTCACCTCCTCAGAGCCCCATGACATCCAGAAACCACACTGAGGCTCAACCAAGCACCAAAGGGCCCCCAAGTTGTCCCCATTTCTAGAGAGAAGAGGAACTTAGCTGTGGTGAAGTCTCCCTAAGCCTAACCTCCCCTGACTCCAGTACTACCTGCAGAAATTGGAGTAGATTTCACTTGTTTTAAAAGGTGAAATTTGTTGGGTGCCAATGGCTGATGCCTGTAATCCTAGCTACTCAGGAGGCTGAGATCTGAGGTTTGCAGTTCAAAGCCAGCCAGGGCAGGAAAGCCTGTGAGACTACTACCAGAAGGTCGGAAGTGGCGCTGTGACTCAAAAGTGGTAGAGGGTTAGCCTTGAGCAAAAGAGCTCGGGGACAGTGCCCAGGCCCTGAGATCAAGCCTCTCCACCACCACCGCCGCCCAACAAAAGAAGAAAAAGAGAAGGAAGGAAGAAAAAATTCACTGAGCATCCCTGGCTAAGTCGAGACTGAGCCCTCACATTATTATGGACCCATTAAATTTATGGAGGTGACAAGTGACAGCCTAAGGAGAATTTATTAATTTACAAGAGAGGAAAGGCATACCATACTGCATAGGTCCATAAAGAACACACAAGGGCCAGTCAAAAGCCTGGAGAGAGGAGTCAGACTGGATAGGGAAGAAGTAGGCTTAGTATCAGTGGGAGGGACAAATCAGAGGACCTGGGCTGTCCTCAGCTGTCTGGTACCTGGCCTAGATCATCTGGGGCAGGGGAAATACTGATGGGTATGTGGGTTCATAAAGGAGAAGCCTGGGGGAAAGGGTTGTTTGGAGGATTTATAATCACACTTTTTTTGGGGGGGGGTCTGGTCATGGGGCCTGAACTCTAGGCCTGGACACTGTCCCTCAGCTTTTCAGCTCAAGGCTAACGCTCTACCACTTGAGCCACAGCGCCACTTCCGGCTTTTTTCTTTTTTGCTTATGTGGTGCTGAGGAATCGAACCCAGGGTCTCAGGCATGCGCTCTACCACTGAGCCACCTTGCCAGCCCCATCACACACACTTTTTTCAACTTGAACTCAGCCGCTTGTGGTTTTCTGGTTGGTTAGTTGGAGATGAGTCTCAAAGACTTTCCTGCCTGGGCTGAAATCAAACTGCAATCCTCAGATTTTAGCCTCCTGAGTAGGTAGGCTTACAGGCAATAGCACTGGCGCCTGGCTGATGCACACTCTTTTTTTTTGGTCAGTCATGGGGCCTGAACTCTGGGTCTGGATGCTGTCCCTGAGCTCTTCAGCTCAAGGCTAGAATCTACCACTGGAGCCAGAGCACCACTTCTGGCTTTTTCTGCTTATGTGGTGCTGAGGAATTGAACCCAGGGCCTCATGCATGCAGCCCACACACATTTTTTTTTTTAATGGTGGCCAGGTTGGATTTAAACTCTTAGGCTCTAGGGATCTTGCCTGGCTCAGCCTAGATGTTAGCTGAAACTACCGGTATGAGCCACTGTACCTGGCCTTGTGGTTTTTGGAGTGGGAGAGCACTTGCCTAGCAAATGTGAGGCTGAGTTCAATCTCTATAGTGCAAAAACAAAAAGGAGGAGGAAGAAATAATGATCTTGAATACCCACAAGAGTAGGGCATAGGAGTGTAAATAGCTTCAGTGCTCATCTCCCTGCCAGGAATGGATGCCAAATAGACAGAGATGGTAAGAAATCTCAGAGCAGCACTGCCTGGTGCTCCTGATACTGCCCAGGACCCGCCCTCAAGTCCTGAATTTTCCTCTCTATCCCTCCAGGCCAGGCAGCACACTTGGTATCCTGTCTCCGGGACCCCATGACAGGAGCCATCTAGCCACAGATACACCTATACTGAGGCCTTGTACAGTACACTCGCTGTCCCCTGAGGCCACGCTGCAGCCACTGTCCTCCCAGAGTTACCTTAGGATTTTATCATAGGGCCGGAGTGTCCTCTACTGGGCATTCTTTGAACATTCTGATTGTAATTCCCATGCTGCACGATAGGTGGTGCTTCCACTCCAGCAATTAAGGCTCCTGGGGCAATTTCCCTCTCTGCTCTGGTACCCCTTGTGGAATTCACCCCCACTGTGCTGATGAAAATGTATCCATCAAATGTCCACTGTGCACAGAGCACTCCCCACACACACACCTTGCAAATGAGTCATGTACCGAGTTGCTTGATCCAAATAGCTGTCCCAAGGAGCTTTGATCCAAATAGCTGTCCCAAGAAGCTTATTGAGTGATGTTTCCCCAGCAAACAAGGACAAAGACACAGCATGGAGCCAAGATAAGACAGGCCAGAGAGGGAGCGAGTGGGAGCAGACGGAAGGACCTCCTGGAAGAGGTGGCTTGGTGCTGAGCTCTGATAGGGAACTGGATTTCAGATGTGAAGGAGCCCCTCCCTCAGCACGCCAGTCCCTGTCTGCTTCCTCTCTCCCTGTTCACCAATAGAGGCAGGTGTCTCCAAACAGTTCCTCCCAGGGCCCCTGGGCCGGGTAGTTCTTACCCACCCTCCTCACTCCCTGACACTGGTTTGCAGCCTAACCTGGCTCCACCTCTTCCCTGCCCCGTGACTTTGAAGTAGTCCTGGATCTCACTTCCTGGAGCCCCTGCCCCTCTTCCCTGGTCTCCCCCAGGACCTGCTGAGTTTACCACATGGCTGATTTCCCAGTTATTGGTGAGGGGTGAGGTTGTAGAAAAAAGATTTTGCCCAGAGCTAAATATACTCAGATCCTCTGGCTCTGGCTTTCAGGGTACAGGGGCCCAGCCCTTGCTCTCCCCACTGTCTTAGGGGCTCCTCTCCTCACCCTTTTAGATAGTTCTTCCTCTACCCCATGTACTGTTTTCCCACTGACCCAGGACTGTGAGTCTGAGACCATTGTTGGAAGAAAACTCAGCCTCAGGGCAGGGGGGTGGGTGGACCCTGGTGTCACAGAGAAGCTGGTTCATCACCACTATCAGCCTCTTAACCAACCTGCCCCAACTGGGAAGTGGACTAGCCTGCAATGAAATGTCTGGCCACGAGGGAGCAGCAGGAGGTCACAGCCTCTTCTGACCTACACTGCTCCAGACTGCTTGGCCTGCAGTGCAAAGACCCGACTTTCCTGACCAAGGCAGCTCCAGCCCTGAGCCACCCCTTGGTAGAGGGGTCTGGAGACTCCCATATCATTCTTCATTGTGCACAGGGTCCCAGCGTGGCTCAGGGAGCCCCCAGTGGGTGGAGGAGCAGGGATTGTCATCACTGGGAAGCTGGGGAGGGATGTCAAACCCAGAAATCAACCCCTGAAATGGGGAAGAACCTGTGGGAGGACCTTCGGCCTGTTGGGAGGGGACAGCTTCCCTTCCCCCACCCCTCACCAATCAGGAACCGTGGTGCTGAGGGCATGGGAGGCTGGATGGGATGGGTTTGGGGAGATGAGGGGCTCAGTCCTAGAACTGGGCTGACAGATCATGCTGGACAAGACCAGGGCACAGGAAGAAATGAGCTGCAGGTTTTCTGGAGTCCACTGGCCTGCATGGAGTGTGGAGGGACAGAGATGTGACTAGAAGTGACTGAGGGGAATCCCACAGAACCCACTTACACACTCCCCACTCAGCCTGGGAGCCCCCCTGGGATTGTACTTCCGTAATGGAGTCAAATGCACATGGAAGCGTTTGGTCACTCCTGGATGGGAAGCGAATAGAGGTCGGGGGCCTCTGGGAGATTTCAGGTACAGAGGAGGCAGGAGGGGATCCAGGACCCACACAAACCCTGAGAGGAAAGGGCAGCCTGCCTGGTCCCTGCTGAGCCCCTGTCCACACTTCCCTGTCCCGTACCGCCCTGGCCTTTCTCAGCCAGGCCTTCACAAGATGGTTCCCTCTCAGTCTGTTTCCCTTTCTGACCTAGGACAGGCCAGAGTGGAAGCGTATCTGTCCTGAGCCTTGGGGACAGAACAGGCTGATTCAGATTGAGGGAGAAAGGCTTTAATCGGGGCTCCTTTGTGCCATGGGGCCAGTGGAGGCCCATGGAGGCCTCTGGATGCAGAGCATGATGCTGGCCATCTCCATGTGGCCCAGAGAGAAAGTCACGATGATTCAGAGGCCTGAGACTTCCTGAGGCTTTCCAAGTATCTCACAGCCTTCATCGTGTGCTTGGCCTTGGGGTCCGAACAGATGTATTTGTCCTGGATGGTCACCAACCTATGAGGAAGGATGTGGGGTGTCAGGGTGGGAAGAACTTTCTAGAGCCCTATAAGCAGCCCTGCCTTTTGCTAGCCAGGTCTCCGGGGTCCCTAGAAGCAAGAATCTGATGTGGTTATACAGCCATCTGTCACAGATCTTGAACCCCAGGCTCTGATGGCTCAGTGACTCAACCTCCTCCCTCCATTGCTCTGCCTGGTTCCAGCCATCCTAGGGGCCAGGGCTGCCCAGACCACCCTGAGCCTGGCAAATAGGGCTGATGCCAGGGCAGGGGGCTGCCCTCTGTCTGGCTAAGGCCCAGGCCCAGGATGGCAGAAGTGGCCACAAAGCTGTGGCCTGATTGTCCCATTGCAAAGTTGGGGCCTCACAGCCTGTGGCCCTTTTTGGTCCCACTGGAACTAGGGGCACAGAGACCATGGACTGTTCCTCCTGCCCTTCCCTAGTAGCCATCTGGGAGTCCCAGAGCCCACCCACTCTACACCTTCAGTCCCAGAAGTCGGGGTGGTATGGAGAGACTCACACGATAGCATCCTTAGGACACTCGGCAGAGGTCCTGTACCATGCCACCAGCCTTCTGATGGGAATGGCGCCCTTGAAGAACTCCATGCAACACTCCCGGCCTGCATTGGGGGCTCGAGCTGGAAAGAGAGCAGAGCTGGACTCTGTGTGTGTGTGTGTGCAGATGGTATACCCAGGCCTCCCTGAGCCTGTGTGTCTGTTACTGGGTGGGTTCTTGTGTGTGTGTGTTCGGTGGGGTGTCTGTGTGTTGATGTATGTGTGTGTGTGTCTCTGTCTGCTGGGCGGGGAGCTTGTATGGGTATGCATGTTGGTACATTTGCTTTAGATCTGCTTTTCTATTTAGCAACCTTATTTCAGCTTATCTTTCCAAACTAAATGGAAAACATCATTTCAAGAGCTCCTGGAACCAGTTCTCCTGTCTTTAGGTTCCAGTACATTGTACCCAAGCCCTATGAAATAAATAATGCTACAGCCGGGTATGCCTATAATCCCGGCTGTTCAGGAGGCTAGATCTGAGGCTCAGTGGTCATCACCATTGTCTTATTATTTCCTTGGATTGCTTCCCGCTCAGAGCTGCAGCTTTGGGAATAGTTGGGGTGTCAGTGGCAGATGTCTGTGTGGAAATAAGCTGAGTCCTTCTCTCTCACCTGCCTGGACGTGCTGCAGAGAAGCTTCCAGAAGCAGGACAGTCAGGAGCAGCATCTTCAGAGGCATCATGGTTCCAGAAGTAAGGGAGGTCTCTGTGAAGGTCTCTTGACTTGGGGAAAGCAAGTGCCGGCCAAGGTGGAGGTGACTTATTTAACCTCTGGGGGTCATGTCCCGCCTCCTGTCCCCTCCCCCACCCCCTTCCTCCATCTGGGTAATTCAAGGAATTTGAGATGATTCTGTGGAAAGCTAGTCTTGGAATGTTTGTGGCTTTCTCCAGAATGGCCCCTGGATGGAGGCAGAGGTGGGGTCCATGAGCTGGGGCCTCCACAGACATGCTTCTCCTTTCTAAGGGGACATTTCTTGGTTCCTCTATTAGCAGAGCTGAGAGGCCCTGGCTTGTTTTGCGACTGTCTGATGATGGTGACTATCAGTCAGACCGGGACAATGGGTTGACAGCTAAACAGGGCGCCTCCCTAGGCCTGGGAAAGACTGAGGTGCCAGGAGGCCAGCATGCACCTCTGGGTCTCCGTTTCATTACAGGGAAGTAAGTCTAGATGGTTCCCCAGGAACCCAAACAAGATGGTAGATCTAAGTAAACACTGTGATGCACACCTGTAATCCCAGCTGTCATACATCTGAAGCCAGCCTGGGCTACCTAGAAAGACGCTGTCCCAAAAATGGAAGGGTAGGGGGGAGAAAAAGACAGCCGAAGTAGGAAAGATGGATATGTCTTTTGATTGATCTTTGGTGGCTCTCCTTTGGCGGCCTCACACCAGTGTTTATCTGCTTCTCTTGGAATCATATCATCTGCCAATGACCGACATCCTGCCCCTCCCAAAGCCTCAGCCTGTCTAGCTGGATTCCATGTGCTCATGACCTGGGGTAGACAATTCCAGGGTGCATTGTTTGGGCAGCTTGTCCATAGAAGAGCAGGGGTACCCTCTGTGCCCCAGCCTGCAGAGTCGGGGCAGGGGTTGGGCAGCCAGGAAGGCTTCCAGGCAGGAGAGTCTGACCAGGGGGCAGGAAGGACCAGGAAAGGACCAGGCCCCAAGAAAGAGGCCAGTGGAGCCCTCTGAACTGTCCATCCCAGCCCTGGGCACGCAAGGGACTGCCATGCTAAGACTGGCAACACCATTGTCAGTGACTTGACCCCAGGCTCCGGTGCTGTGGAAACTCCCCGTGTGGGTTTGGAACCTTCCTCGCTCTGCTGCACACTCAGTTTTCTCCAGAAGGACCTAAATTCCCCTGTCCTTCTGGAGAACACGTTGCAGCAGCAGGAGCAGAAGGTTCTGGATGGTTACTGAGGTGGTACAGCCTGCCTGGCAAGGGAAGGGGGGGTACAGAGCAAGCAATTAAGGGAGCTGTCTGGGGGTGCTTCTTGGAGCTGGGCTAGTTCTGTGCAGCTCCTGTCCTTAAGGGGTTCACAGTGGGAGAGGTGGTGGAGCAGGGCCTGGCTGTTCGTAGGGATCTGGTGAGCAGAGGAAACCTGCGAAGGCTGCCTGGAGACAGCAGCAGTGGACTGGGCTTTGTAGACCAGAGAGTCAGGAAGGCCATTTTCTTCAAGGAAGGAAATGTGCAGGAAGACACTGGGGGAACAGCATGGAACTCTGGTAGGAAGGTGGGGAAAATAGCCTGCCATAGCCTGCCAGGCCCCAGCGCTGTCTTCTCTGTCCCCAGCATCCCCAGCACCAAGTGCACTGGGCTCCATGGGCTGAGAAAAGGGTAGAGGGAGGAGGGGTGAGCGGTGAGTGAGCTCAGGGCTGAGTGCGCCCCTTGCCTGAGTTGGGAAGCCACACAGCCTGGTGAGGGGTCCTATCATCCTGCCAAGGATTAACTTCACGCTTTCTGTTTCCCCAGCAAGGATCTGGATTCCACCCAGAATATTCTAGGCCTCAACACACCGTGCTGGGAGAGAAGGCTGCAGGATCTGGAGGTTCCAGGAGGCAATCTAGGATGCTGCATGGAGCGGGAGGCAGCCTGCAGTGGCAGACACGGTGTGGAAGGGCCGCAGGGAAGGGTATGTGGCTTGGTATACAAGGAGAGGAGGATCTGGTGGGAGGAAGGCCCAATGGCGGCCCCCTGTTCTGAACCCTATGACTAAACTGGGTACCTAGATACTGCCTAGGCACCTGCCAATGCTCCGGCCCAGCCCCAGCAGACTGATCACATGCCTCCCTCCACTGTAGGAGAAGAGGTCTTCACCCTGAGAGAGGTGGGCAGAAGAAGGGGTGCTCTAGGGCATGGGGTATGGCCAGGTGGCTGTGGAGGGGCAGGGAGGGAGATTCTTCATCACCCACAGTCGCACTTGACACTTGTGATAGACCAGAAGTGTCACCCCAGCTTCTTGTCCAGTGATGGCTCCCAGAGCCCAATCTGAGCATGGCTCTCCACTCCCCCTCCCTTCCCTCCCTCCCCAGTGCCCTCCCATGAGGCCACCACCCCCACCTCCAACTTCTCCATCCTACCACCCACTTTTTTCTGGTTCCTTGAAATGTCAGCAATCTCTGAGGCCCAAACCTTATATCCAGATAGTCCTTCTTGTCTGGAACATTCGCTTCCTCCCCTCCCTCCCTCCTTCAGACCACAGCTTGGACCTCCCCTTCTTCCCATGACCTCTTGTCCCCAGAGGCCATTGACTTCTCCACCACAGCTTTCTTCGCCTTGCAGTATGGTTACCTTTATTTGTTGTGTCACACACAAAAGGCTGAAAACAAGCATTTCCTTTGTGTTCCACCTTCCAGGACTTAACAAGATGTATTGGGCTAAATAGGTGTTCAATAACGTATGTTTGTTGAATGGATGAAGAGGTATGTGGCTTGGTGGGTGTGTGAATGGATGAATGGATGGATGAATGGCTGATGGGTGGATGGGCAGTAACTGGATGTGTGGATGGGTGGGTAAAATGATGATGGAAGGATGGATGAACAAATCAGTAAATAGGTGGGTAGTAAATGGCTGGGTAGATGGATAGATGAATGGGTGAATGGATGATGGATAAGTAAATAAGTGGATGGATGGGTGGCAGTGGATGGATAGATGGATGGATGGGTAGATGGATGGATGAATGGATGGATGGCTGAGAGGGTAGATGGATGGATGGTAGTGGATGGAGATGGATGGATGGGTGGATGGATGAATGATGGGTGGGTAGATATATTAGTGGATGAGTAGGTAGTGAATGGATATGTGGTAAGTAAATTAGTGGATGAGTAGGGGTGAATAGATATGTGGATTTGTGGATGGATGGGTGGTGGGTGGATAGATGGATATGTGTGTGAATAGTGAATGGTGGATGTGTAGAGGGCTGGTGGGCAGATGCAAGTTGCATGGACAGAAGGGTGGTCACTTTCAAACATCTGAACTGCAGCATGGGTCCAGCTTACATTCTCTGTGCCTTCACCTCAGAACATTCTGGATTCAGTGTGTCTCACTGAGTCACCCTGGAGTTCTTCTCTCATACATAAGGCAGCATAAGTCTACAACTTTCTTTGGGGGAAGGGTAGGCTGACTAAGATTTGAGCTTGGGCTGTTGAGCAGACACTCTACCACTTGAGCCACTGCACCAGTCCCTTTTTGTACTAACCAATGTGAAAAGATAGGATCTGGCTGTGTATCTGGGATAGCCAGGACTTTAGTCCTCCTGTTTGCTTCACTATGTCACTGATGATAGGCGACTATCACTTCACCCAGACATTGGTTGAGATGGAGTCTCATGAGCTTTTTTTGTTTTTTCGGTCGTGGGGCCTGAACTCTGGGCCTGGGCGCTGTCCCTCAGCTCTTCGCTCAAGGCTAGCACTCTTCCACTTGAGCCACAGCACCACTTCTGGCTTTTTCTACTTATGTGGTGCTGAGGAATCGAACCCAGGGTCTCATGCATGCAAGGCAAGCGCTCTACCACTGAGCCACCTTCCCAGCCCATGAACTTTTAATCCAGGCTGACTTCAAACGGTGACTCCCCATCTCTGAGGCCCATGTAGTAGCATTGCAGGCTTGAGGCACGGGGTCCACATGCCTTACAGCTTTCTTGTGGGTTGTGGCTTTTTTTTTCCCTGCCAAACTTCAATTGCTTTAAATTTAAATCTCAGGCTTCCTTCATCCCAGGGACGCCTCCCTCACCTCTTGGCCCTTCCATTTTCCATCCAAACCTCCCATCTTGCTGATACAGGGTCCTGACTCCCCCACTTTATAATGACCTCTCCTTGACCCCGGCACCTCCCTCCACTGCCATCTTATTCCTCCTCTCACCCATGACCAAACTTCCTACCACTATTTCCCCTCTGCTCACTTGTGATTTCAATTCATCCTTAGGTGTATGGATTTGGGCTCAAGGCTCTGCTGGCTGGGGTGGGGGTTGCTGTCTATGGGGGTCAGCCCCTGTGGCTGCTTCCTGAACCCCCGACCCCTCACAGGCGAGCTCAGACTGCCTAGAAGGAGCATCTCCCAGTGAGCAACCCAGAATGTTGTGCTATCTGCACAACAGGATGATAGCGACTCTCTCAAGGTACAGCTGGGAGGTGACGTACATGAACTTCCTCTCCCCAGTGGGCTCAGTAAATCTGGGAACATTTGTTCTTCCTGATACCCTACCCCTTGTACTGGCATTGGAAAGAGACTCCTCCCTCCTGGGGTACCATCTCTCAGGAAAACCTCCATGTTCCATCATGCCTGAGTGGGTTGTAGCAGCTGTCTCTATGGGTCGATTTGTCCTCAGGACAGTTACAGGAAGTATACACTATGGTCTCGATGTTAACAGGTGAGGAAGTTGGATGGATGGATGGGTGAATGGATAGATGGATGGATGAATAGGTAAATGGATGGATGGATGGATGGATGGATGGATGGGTGGGTGGGTGGATAGATGGATGGATAAATGAATGGATGGATAGATAGGTGGGTGAATGGACAGATGGATGGGTAGGTGAATGGATGGGTGGATAGATGGATGGATGGATGGATAAATGAGTGGATGGATAGATCGGTGGGTGAATGGACAGATGGATGGGTAGGTGAATGGATGGGTGGATAGATGGGATATGTGGGTGAATAGTGAAAAACAGTTCCTTGGCACA